ATCGAATTTAGTATGGTTGCATATCTCGTTTGCGTGCACGGGGTTCCGAACGAGTTCGGAGCACCCCATCGGAGTTTTTTAGTTTTGGAAATTATTGCAGAAAATCTGCTATAAATGCAGAAAATCAGTAACATTTCCCAAACTTCAAACCCTCATAACTCTCTAATCTTTCATCCGAATTAGGCGATTCAAAGTGCGGGAGCTTCGTATTTTTGGTGGCTTCGCTGTAGAGTGTTTGAAAGTTGTCGGGTGCACGTAGTTCGAGCTAGATTTCACAATAACCTGACTGCAGTACCCTTTTTCGAGCTTTTGTTTTCGGCATTCTTGTTTTGGTCATATCTCACTCATTTTAGCTCGGTTTTGGGTGATTCGAAGTCCTACGTGTTGGAAATTGTATTGGCTTCATTGTAGAATGTTCAAAGCGTGCTGGGCACTTTTTGATTCTCCTTAATTTCGAGTTTAGACTGCTGTAATGTTTTCTTTTAAGTTGATTAAAGTGTGGTTTTGTTGCTTGTTGGATGTTGATGCGTTTTAATCCCCGAATTGTATTCCATTTTGGAACACAAGTTTGGGGTGCTATTTAGGGTGTCTTGACGGAGTCAAATTCAGACAGTTCGGTGCGGATCCTACGATTCCCGTTTTGACTCCAAAATTGATCCGTCTCCGTTTGTTGTGATTTTGGTGTCTAAACGACCGTAATAATCTTGTGACTCTATTTTTGATTGCGGGGCAGTGTTTCGAGGACGTTTGGAAAAGGAAAGCTCCGTAGAAGTGATATTGGAGCACGTGTGATCGGCCTACAGGTAGGCTACGGTTTCCTTCTCTTAGATTGAGCTCGAAAATGTGAATGCATGTTGATTATTTGGGATTTGGGTTGAGTAGTTATTGAATCATGTATAGGTGTTTAAAAATCATGTTTTCGGCCTATTTCGAGAATTATCGGGTAACTGTGAGCATGCTTTGTGTTATTAAATTGACCCTCTTCGCTATGTGGAGTGCTTGCATGCTTAATTACTGTTTATTTGAAGCATCTTGGGCCTTAGTTTAGGTTTGACTAGGGCTTGCCTTAGAAATTCATGATTCGGATCCAATAAGCCTTAGTTTTTCCCCGACGTCGCTCGGCCGGCTTAGATCCCTGTAGACTGGTGTAGCAGACTTGAGTCTGATAGTTTGGGCCTTAGCTAGGCGATACGCTTGCTCCGACTATAGTTATCCTTTTTTTCCCCGATGTTACGGCTTCACGAGTTAAGTCGGCTACGCTAGTTCTGCTTCGCGATTTGAATTTGATTTTCGATTCAGTTCCAAGGACTTACATTGATTGGCTAAGTATGGACGGCGTTCCACGGACATTTCTGAGTATGGATCGATTGGGACTCTTTCAACAACTACATTAGCACCTTTGTCGGGCATCCGGATACGCTTCCACGAACATTTATGAGCATAGATCGATTAGGATTCTTTCAGCAGCTACATTGGCACATTTATAGAGCATCCGGTTTAAGGTCCGGCCTCTATCGCCCAGATACTTATATAGAGCATCCGGTTCGAGGTCCGGCCTCCGTACTGTCAGATTCTACTAATTAAGGTTGAGGTTCTGGTTCGATGTTCTTCGTTCTTGGGTTC